AAAAAATTTGTCAAAAATAAATTAATTGCTATATTGAGTGTTAATATGTGTTTGTTTTAATAATACGTAATAAACTAACTTGCTTATAATGTTAAACATGTCTACAATTATATTGTTAAGATTACTAATTCTTAATTTTTACTGAATAGTATAAATGTTACATGCCGGTGCTATATGTATGAACAATGCTACTTGTATCTCACCATTAATTCACATTTACTGACACTAAACTATGGCACGGGTAGGTCCGGACAACGTGAACATAACGGGCGACAATCACGTGACCATGGTCACCAGCGAGCACCTCAACAATCTGCTGAAGTCCGTACTGAATCTGGTCCGCAATCACGTGGGAGTGGAGGGGTCGCCGTGGATGGTGACCATTGCCGGACACGCCGGACAGATAATCATCAACTCGTCGGAGGAGCTACTCATGGATCCGGTGCTGCCGTTGGCGCAGAAGATCTGCACCCGAGCCGAGGCGGCCTTCCATCGCGAGGACCTCATGAGGGGTTACCTGAAGTCGGCTACGGATGATACCAGTGCTGTCGAGACGCAGCTTCAGGAGGAGTTCGCACTACTGGCCCGCGATGTCTACGCTTTCTATCCGTTGCTCATTAAATACGTGGACATCCAGAAAGGTATGGCCTGTTTGGGTCGAGTAGTGAACATTTGATTGATTTTTCGCTACCATTCCCGTCAGGCCATTGGCTTAAGAACAACACTCCGGAAGCGGAACAGTTGTATCACTTCGTGGCGACGATATTCAACATATGGTCGAAATCCCAGTTCTTCAGACGAGAGGAGCAGAACTTCATCTCTCAGAACGAAATCGATAACATGGCTCTCATTATGCCCTCATCGGGAAGGGGTGGCAGAGTGTCGGCCACCAAATCGGACGGTTCGCAGTCGCAGTCCGCTAAGAAAGTATGCGAAACTGGATTTCATTTACAAATTAATCTTAAGATTTTCGTTATCAATGAATTGGGATTTAATATAAGTTTCTGTTTTAATAGCCATTAATTGTATACAAAATATTTATACATTTCATAATATATTTAAAGTCAATTTTTCAATAAATTTTATGTGAGTTAAGGGAACTCCTGGGATGGGAAGTGTATTGACTGTATTGTTATATAATATTTGCAAAATTAGTGTAAAATTAATAATTTGATCGAAATTTGTGTCCAAAAATTAGGTGAAGAAGAAACGGGAGGGAAAGCGCGACAAAGACAAGGAACTGGCGGCCAGTCTGATGGTGGCCTGTCTTAAGCGCCTACTGCCGGTAGGGCTGAACCTATTTGGCGGTCGGGAGCAGGAGTTAGTACAGCACGCGAAGGAGAAGTTCCTGAAGCGCCGGCCCGACGCAGACATCTTCGAGTACGTGAAGACTCAGCTGACTCTACCCGATAAGATCGACCCGAGCGACGACATGTCGTGGCAGCACTACCTCTACAGTAAGCTGGGCTCTAAAAAGGCGGTCACCGGTAGGGAACTGGCGTTAGTTGACAGTAAGCACTCGAAAGACCCGCATTTGGCGGCCGACCAATTGGTTGAGAGGATTATCGATATGTCGAAAGTGTTGTACGGACTCCACACGGTATGGCCTATTGATTGCTACTTGTTTACTGTGTATGAGCTTATGGGTGTATTATTGTGAATTGTGTTTACTGTAAGTGAATTTTTATGTTTTTATAATCTACAAGGTTATATTTATTTTTTATATTAATTTATTGTACATTATAAGCATTTTTGACTATAAACCGAAATTTTATAAAAAGTTGTTAAAGACTTACAGTATGTATAGAATTTGGTGGAATAATGCGATAGAATTACAAATTCAGTAATATATTCATAGATTCTGTTCATTGATTGTATAATACAGTGATATTCTGTGCAATTCTTGCCGTAATCCCAATTGAATGTTATTGTATTATCGGTGCATTCCTTATAAATGTCTGTCCTCTATGTCTCACTATCCATTGCTTTCTATCAGCCCTTATCTATTCAAATCACTCTATAATGAACTGTATGTCCGGTCAGATCGATCACCCGTCTGGTCAGCAGAAAGGCGTGTGGAGGAGCTGTGTATCGTCGCAGAGAAAGCGGGCTGTCATCGCATGTTTCCGCATGATTTCCCTCCACTCACTTCCCAGGTATTCGTCATTTGATATATTCGTGTGATTCTTGCATTTGACACCACAATCGCAACTCAATTGCTCACAAAATAACTCATTTTTACCGCATTTATAGCACAGTATAGCATGACTTGTGGTATGTTTTTTCGCGTGGAATGGCTTTTGCTTTAATGTAGTGCGGGATGTAGTGTCAGCACCCGATGGTTTGCATGCAGGCAACTGGTTATTAACATGATTTTATGCTCATTATTATTTATTTATGAAATAATAACAGTGTTTATCAATAATCATAACAACTGATGTAAAACTAATAGGTATTCAAGCGATTGCATAGAGAGAGGGAATGGAAACGGATTATGATATCCTGTAGTAAGAAACAGGCGGCCATTAATTGCTTATTAAGTACTCCGTTGTATATCGTGAGCAGGTCTGTAGGTCTGGCCATTCACCCAACCATTCATACAGAATTGAATCAAATGTCATGTGTTTTGCTCAAGAAATTATTAACTATATAAGTTAATAAAGTAGTTTGTTATGTTGCTAGTGTTCATATAGAATTTATAATTGTTCATAATTTTATATATTATTTATAAATTAGATTTACTAAACTAAGTATGCTAGTTTATAAATATCAACTAAGCTGTGTGTTTACCCACTCTGTGTGTTATTCAACACCATTAACACTCAATTGACTCAATTCTGTAACAAAAAACTAATACAAAAAATCCACAGAATATTCTGTATAAACACATATCTATACCACATAATCGGGTGAACCTATAGGCACCGGGCGATGAATATATTCCTGAAGACTTACACCGACATGTGGCTGACGGTCGAGAACGTAGGCCACGAGCAGCTCATCGAAGATAACACGGAATCCTTCGAAGAGGCGGAGAAGAAGACCGAAGAGGAGGACACACCTAAACCCGATCCCATTAAACAACTGGTGACGGCCTTCTCGAGGGCGGCCATCACTGAACACGGAGGGCCCATGAAGGAGGACAGCCTATACATGGACTACGCGTTCATTTTTATGCAGAGTAATGGTGGGGCCGAAGAGGACGAGGAGGAAGAGGGCGGCGATGAGGAGGGCGGTGGCGAAGAGGGGCCGTCCATTCACGAGCAGGAGATGGAGAAACAGAAGCTGCTGTTCCAACAGCAACGGCTCGCCGATAGGGGTGTCGCCGAAATGATACTGTTGTACATCAGCGCCTGTAGGGGTAGGTGTCTGAGTTAATACAGTAGAGTCTATGAGTTGTTAATAAAGTGATAGAATTTGTAAAACTTCGGGAATTACTAAAAATAGTTTATCATAGGTGTGATAGATCAGTTTATTAATTACTAAGCTTATAGTTAATTTAATTTGGTTTGACTGTGTTTGCAAATAACTGTATATAAAATATTGCAATCAAAATTAGTAATGAATCTTGTTATAAATTAAACCACCGGTGCTTTCGCAGGCATACAGACCCCGATGGCGATGAAGACCCTGAAGCTGGGCATCAGTATCCTGAAGGGCGGTAATGTTGAGGTCCAGATGCGAATGTTGCGGCACCTGAAGGACAAAAAGGACGTAGGATTCTTCATATCGATCGCTGGTCTCATGAATTCGTGTTCAGTACTCGATTTGGATGCCTTTGAGCGCAACCAGAAAGCCGAGGGACTGGGAGTGGGGGCGGAGGGCACCACCGGCGAGAAGAATATGCACGACTCGGAGTTCACGTGCGCTCTGTTCCGGTACATACAGTTGCTCTGCGAGGGCCATAACCTGGAGTTCCAGAACTACCTGCGCACGCAGGCTGGTAATACGACCACGGTCAATGTGGTGATCGCCACGGTAGATTATTTGTTGAGGCTACAGGAGTCCATTATGGACTTCTATTGGCATTATTCCAGCAAGGATCTTATCGACCAGTCCGGTCAAGATAACTTCATTAAGGCCATTACGGTCGCCAAACAGGTACCGGTGCTTTCAATCTGTATTTTCTATATAACTAACAATGGATATAATGATATGATTTAAGACTAAATTACTCAAAATTAAAACTATTTAATAGACTTTTATTTTAAGAATTTATAAAATAAGAATTATACATTATTTAAGAGTTAGTTAAGAATATTCTTATACTTTATTAATGTTTACAAACTTATTAACGAGTTATTTTATATTTGTGTATATATTCGGGTGATTGTATGGACAGGTATTCAGCACGTTGACTGAGTCCATACAAGGACCATGCTCAATGAATCAGCAAGCATTAGCCCACTCGAGGTTATGGGACGCCGTCGGGGGCTTCATGTTTCTGTTCGCTCACATGCAGGACAAGCTCTCGAAGAACTCGTCGCAATTGGATCTATTGCTGGAACTGCTAGACCTGCAGAAGGAAATGGTGATTATGATGCTGTCTATGCTTGAGGGCAATGTCATGAATGGCACGATCGGCAAACAGATGGTCGACACTCTGGTCGAGAGCGCCGCCAATGTTGAGGTCAGTATCGGTTCCCGGCGTTGATTTGTTGCTTATATTGGCGTTTGTTTTATCATTCAATTCACAGATGATTCTCAAATTCTTCGACATGTTTCTCAAACTCAAAGAAGTGATTACTTCGAGTACTTTTCAGGTATGGTTTGGTTACTGATTAACATATATGATACCTGTCCGCTTACATATGGCACTGTCTTACTGTTTGGTTGGGGAACAGGAGTACGACAAGAAAGCGATTGGTTGGGTGACGGCGAAGGACTTCCAGAAGGCGATGGAGCAGCAGAAGATCTACGCTCCGGAGGAGATCCAGTACCTGATGTCGTGCTGTGAGCCCAACCACGACGGCCTCATCGACTACCGCGAGTTCACCGAACGCTTCCACAATCCGGCCAAAGACATCGGCTTTAATCTGGCGGTGCTCTTAACCAACCTGTCGGAGCACATGACTAACGACCCCCGGCTGCAGCGCTTCCTCGAGACGGCCTCATCGGTGCTCAACTACTTCGAGAACTTCTTGGGCCGCATAGAGATCATGGGCGGCTCCAAGAGGATAGAGAGGGTGTACTTCGAGATCAAGGAGGAGACCATCAATCAGTGGGAGAAACCGCAGATCAAGGAGTCGAAGAGAGCCTTCTTCTACTCGATCGTCACCGAAGGCGGGGATAAGGAGAAGTTGGAGGCCTTCGTGAACTTCTGCGAGGACGCCATCTTTGAGATGCAACACGCGAGCAGTATATCCATGGAGGACGACGAAGAGCCCACCAAAGCTGGTCAGTGGGCGGTGTCTGTCCGCCGAAATGTCTGTCCCTATTAGCTATTAACTAGTGATTAGTTTTTGGTGTGTTCGGTATAACCATTGATACTCTTATGGGTTAATTTAATTGACATAAGTTAAGCCTAACCTCCAGTTCCATAATATTTTTAATCTAATTATGAATTTATGTTAGCCCACCCCTACCCCCACTTTACTATTTATGAAATAAATTAATAAATAATGTATGAACAGGTGACTACCCCTATCCGGGCAGCGAGGAGGTGCCGGTGTCAGCGCTGGAACCCATCAAAAACGTGTTCAGATACGTGTGGAACAGGATCTGCAAACTCTTCTCATACCTGCGACCGGAAAACCTCCGCAAACAGTGGCGTCGCCTCAAAGAGAAGACATACTTCGAGCTGTTCGTCGGCTTCTTTCGCGTGACGTTTGGGTCACTGTTTTTGGGCGGATATACCATCTATTATGTCAACAAATGTGTCCTCAAATTCATACTCAAACTCATGACCGGAGAGCCGATAGCCGGCGCTCCCGAAGACGAGGACGACTACTACAGCGAGGAGAGGGCTCTGATGCCGGCGTCGGCCGCTGTCGCCTCCCTGGCCTCCGCCGCTATGATCGAGTCAAATGCGGCGCCGCGTATGGCAATCATGAGTACCGAAGATCTGACCGCTGAGGCCGGACCTAACGGTCCAGACGCCGGACAGTCGGCGCTACCCAACGGCACTGACCCTCAACTGACCGCCGATTCAGCGGACAGTAAGCAAACGAATGGTGATCTCAAGACTGGCGGCGAAGGAGAAGACCAGGAGGTGAGCCAAGAAGTGACTCAGACGGTGGCTGAGGAACCGGTAGCTCAGCCGCCGATGGTTCCCCAGGAGGATAGCGGTGCCGGGAAGGGGTCGGGCGGTGAGGGGTCGGCCGATTCGGCTCCAGTGGTGTCTTCGATACCGAATTTCGCGAATTATACGAAACGATTCGTGTATTGTTTGGCCAGAAATCTGTATACAATCAAAAAGATCGCCCTATTCTTGGCGTTTGTCATCAATTTGATGCTATTGTTCTACAAAGTGACTACTTTTATGCCCGATGGCGATGAGGGCGAAGGGGCCGGTGCTTCAGGGGAAGGGGATGACGGCTCCGGTAGTGCCGAAGCCGTGGCAGAGATTATAGAGGAGGTGACGACCGCGGCCGCGGATCTATTGACAGGTATTGTTGAATCGGATTTTAATTATGACTACAAATACTGATTATATATCCTATTTGGTGACCAATGAGGTGGTGGTGACGACGACGAAGGGGACGACAATATAGTGGAGTGGCTGCAGATGGAGGAGGGCTGGTATTACTTGGAGCCGTTGCTGAGAGGGCTGGCAATACTGCATTCCCTACTATCCTTTTTTATGCTCATCGCGTACTACAACCTAAAAGTGCCGCTAATTATATTCAAACGCGAGAAAGAGATCGCCCGACGCGTCGAGTTTGACGGCCTATACATCAGCGAACAGCCCGAGGATGACTACCGGGCCCAATGGGATAAGCTGGTGATCAACACCCAGTCCTTCCCCGTTAACTATTGGGACAAATTTGTCAAAAAGCGAGTGCGGGCTAAGTATTCGGAGCAATACGACTACGACAACCTGTCCACTCTGTTAGGGATGTCCAAAGCGGGCAGCGCCTCACTCGATGAGACGCCTCCCACCGGATATTTCTCGTTCATAACCTCATGCGACTGGAAGTACCAGATCTGGAAAGTGGGCGTCACTTTCATGGATAATGTATGTCTTTGCCTACCAGATACAGTATTTATAAATTTTTAATAAGATGTGTGTTTAATGGTGAACTTATTTTGTATCTAGGTATTTTTATACAATTTAGTGTATTTCGTTTTGTCAGTTATGGGAAACTTTAGTTACTTTTTCTTCGCCGCACATCTCCTCGACATTGCAGTCGTCATCCCGACCCTCAAGACTATCCTACAGTCTGTCACACATAACGGCAAACAGGTATACATAACCGGCCACTTGTTATTCAACCCCATACTATAACTGTATTTATTAATTTTTTGTACTTTGATGACCTGTCGATCCCTCGAATGGACAGTTGGTTTTGACTGTAATGTTGTTGATAATCGTGGTCTACATCTATACAGTGATTGCATTCAACTTTTTCCGCAAATTCTATGTCCAAGAAGAGGACGACCAGATCGACCAGAAGTGCCATAATATGCTCACTGTATGCATACCATCTGCCGTCCCACTCCTGGAAACACTTTCTTGATATGAATTTCTATCACTTTTTGTAGTGTTTTGTGTTTCACTTATACAAAGGCGTGAGGGCTGGCGGTGGTATCGGCGATGAGATCGAGTCACCCGATGGCGATGAGTACGAAGTCTATCGCATTATATTCGACATCACGTTCTTCTTCTTCGTGATCGTCATCCTTCTCGCTATTATTCAGGGTTTGTGTCACAAGAATATTCTTGTCCTACGAATTGGTTATTAACAGAATAAATGCCAGAATAGAGAAAAGGGTTCAATAAGATGCATATACCGTACAATATACTTATAAGATGTACCGGTACTAGCACAAATATATATATCGGTAGTGGATCAATATTAATTATTTAGCTAGTTTAATATTGTGTTTATTATATAAAGTGTTCACTGTATTTATTCGTTGATAAGCAACGATAATCGATTCAATTGAGAAAAGTTTCTAATATACCGTATACTGATTACCCGTTCATCGCACCGGTAGGTCTGATAATCGACGCGTTCGGCGAACTCCGCGATCAGTTACAGTCGGTGTCGGACGACATGGAGTCCAACTGTTTCATCTGCGGCATAGGGAAGGACTACTTCGACAAAGTGCCGCATGGGTTCGACACGCACGTGGCCAAGGAGCACAACCTGGCTAACTATATGTTCTTCCTCATGCACTTAATCAACAAACCGGACACCGACTACACGGGTCAGGAGACGTACGTGTGGGAGTTCTACCAGAAAAGGACCTGGGACTTCTTCCCGGTGGGCGAGTGCTTCCGCAAACAGTATGAGGACGAGCTCACCGGACAGGCATAACACATACTACCAGTCCGCTCATAATCACTCAACTATCGCATTAGATTCATAAAGAATTCGCGACATACTGTTCCCCCAATTGATACATACTGTATGGCTTGTGTGGGGTTTTTTGTTATACTCACCCATTGGTCCCATTAGGACCCCTTCCCTGATGTAGTTATAACTGATCTGATGTTTAGTTTTTCTAATACTTGTTAAGAATTACTGACTATTCCTGTGAACACTGTATTCCCAGACCTTATAGTAAACTGACTTTTTAATGGATAGTATTTTGTTGTACACTATGTTTTCTGTTTATTATTATAATAATATTTGTTCATTTATTATTAGATTTTTTGGTCACAATTTATATAAAATTTAGATAAATATATGTTTTATTGATTTGTTTTCAAATAAACTATATTTTCATTTGAATCTCTCTCTCTCTCTCTCTCTCTCGCAAGTGAATGAAATTCTCTGTTTGAGTCAATACAACAGAATCTGTATTTGATTACAAATACACCATCACCTGAACATAGGGTACAATAAGAATTAGTATTCAATGTATACTCTATGTAATAGCATCTTCTATTGTACTGTGTTGTTAAAATGAACTTGCAAAACTATTAAATTTCATACTAAACGATTTTTAGTACCGGCACATACTGTATATATTGTGCACGAAGGTTTCGAATAATTTATAAGTTTTTATGCTGGTACTTCAAACTGTAATCAAGTTAATCATTAATTAGGCTGTAAAAGTGTATATGAGTACTATTTTACATCACAATTAATAAGTGTTTTATAATCCGTACTATTAGCACTGTAATTGTGTAAAGTAAAAACTATGTGAATGCCTACAACCAGGTAAAATAGTATACTTACTATATAAATACGGTACAGGTATAATACAGTACTTTATATTGATTCAGTTAATAACGTTTAGAAATCGTTTTAATTTACAGTAACACTGCCTTATCATGTCATACAATGTTAGTTACATAACTGTTGCATAAAACATGTGCAAAAAGTAAATAAATACTGTATTATCTATTCATCAAAAATAAGTCATTCTTAGCCTAACGAATCTATTGTCAAAATATTGTATATATATATATTCTGAACGTGAATTTTCTGTCATTGCATTTCCCACTATTTATGGGAAACAAGTTTTTATTATTAACTTTGCCTTGATACTCATCTCATCGTAATAATGGCCACAAAACTTTATGAGCAAAACTTTTGGGTCAGTATAACACTAATAACTAGAATATTCTGTAAATAATTCCGTGTTTTTAATTCAGGATTTTATTCAAACTCTGAATGCTGAGTTTATACAATATTTTGACAAATCATTTGTTTGGATCCCTTTCCTCATACTATTCACTATATCAGTTTATAAATGGTGTAATCAGTCTGTGGTCGCATCCAAACCACCACAACATCATAATACTTGTCCCGAAACTAATGCCTCATTCCTATCGAAACTGACGTTTTCATGGTTTACACCAATGGTTATGAAAGGCTATCGCAAACCACTGACCACTCAAGACATGTGGTCTCTGGAGGACGAGAACCAGACCTCTGTTTGTGTCGAAAGATTCAACAAATACTGGAAACCAATCGTCGAAAACAGAGATAAAACTGAAAAAAACTTTTTTCCGGCGATTTTGAAGACCTTTTGGGCGACCCTTGTGTTGAACGTCGGCATTAAAATGACGGCCAGTTTACTGACATTCAGTCAGCCCTTACTACTCGACCGACTCATCACATTCATGAGGCCCGACACCACTGAATCGGAATGTCAGGGCTATTTGTATGCACTGTTCATGTTTGTGTCAGCAGTGGTGGCAACCCTACTAAATACTCAGTGCCAGAACAGCAACTTCATGATTATAATGAGAGTCAAGACTTGTATAACATCTCTACTCTACCAAAAGGTAATAAAAACACACTATAACAAACAATTACAATTAACATACCATTCCTATACCAGTCGCTAAAGTTGTCGAGCTCTGGGCGCAAGGATAATACAGCGGGTGAAATAGTAAACCTATTATCCGGGGACATGGACTACATCTTAACCTTGTTTTACTTTCTCAACACTATTTGGCTGAGTCCTTTACAAATCACAATTACATTGGTACTATTGTGGCAACAGTTAGGTGTGGCCACTTTGGCCGGCATTGCATTTATGGTAGTTATAATACCATTGAACTCGTGGATCGGTACTCGGGAACAGCAGTATTGGGCACAACTACTTCACTGGAAAGATAAGAGGGTTATGGCTATTAATGAGATACTAAACAGTATGAAGATATTGAAATTGTACGCTTGGGAGGGCTCGTTCAGGGACAGGGTGTTCGGGCACAGGGATCAAGAGGTTAGGACACTCAAGACATTAATGTGGAATACCTGTTGGCAAAGTTGTTTCAGTTACACGACTCCTTTCCTTGTTAGTATTAGTTACATATTATGGGGGGAATACAAAAACATTGTTCCCGGCTAAAATTTAAAATCAATTAATCAAAATCTTTGGTGCATAAAATTCTCTGATTATTAGACTATTCACTAAACAACCCGTTTGTGAAAATATTGAGCCATTCAAGAGCTATCTAAATTTTAGCCGGGAACAATGTTTTTGTATTCCCTTATACAATCAATACAAATTTACTGTAATATTCCTGTTAATTATGTTTTTACTGAATGAAAGGTCAGTTTAGTTAGTTTTACGGCATTTATACTCATCTCAAACGATAATATTCTGGACGCGAATAAAGCATTTGTCTCATTACTACTGTTTAATATGTTAAGTGAGTGGACTATGTTTTATAATTTGCTAATTTTTACTACTTTTGAGATTAGTTTGTAATATTTTAAATACACCTAATAGGGACGCCTATAATTACGATTCCGCCGTTGGTTAGCTCCGCAGTAATGGTTAGTATTTGATGGTAATCTCAATGTTTGTATATTTCTTAATGATAGTAATTAAATGTGATTTTTATTCAAATTCAGTGCAGAGTATCCGTGAGACGAATAAATAAGTATTTAAACGCTAATGAAGTCAATGAGAAGTCAGTTGAACATGAAGTCAATGAAACTCCTATTATTGTGAGGAATGCTTCATTCAAATGGGATAAGGAATCGAGTGATAAAGTACTCAAAAATATTAATTTAAATATTGAGAGAAACTCTTTGGTGGCAGTCGTGGGTCAGGTCGGCGCCGGAAAGTCATCCCTACTGTCGGCACTATTGGGAGATATGGAGAAGAATAGGTATGGTTATGTCAATATTGATGGAAAGGTAGCCTATGTCTCACAACAGGCATGGATTCAGAATACGACAATCAGACAGAATATTCTG